TAAAAATAAATAATAATAATAATAAATTATTTGGCTTCATTATTCTGCTTTATTTTGTAAACATATGCAGAAGATAATTTTAGAAACATAATATAGAGTCTGGGCATACTGGATGTAAAAGGAACAGTTGGCAGAATCTAATGAAGTTCTCTCTTTCGGCTGATGTGAAGGCTCAGCTCCCAGACAATTAAGTGACCTAGCAGAGCCATGTCTTAATTTAGTGGTAGAACTAGAGTCTCCATATGGCAATTGGTGGTGGTTGTGGTGGTGGTGGTGGTTATAGAGTAGGTTCGAACTGACTCACAGCTGACCCTCTAGCAGGTTTTCAGAGGCAGACAGTTACAAGGGAAGAGATTGCTCATATTTTCCCATGAAACAGCTGGTGAATTCAAACCACATGTTTTTGGATTGGTGGTGCAGTTTCTCATAAAAGAGAGGTAAGAAGCCTTTTTCAGAAGAATGGAGTTAGTTGAGTGTCATAGCTGATGTTAAATTGAGGCGTTTGCTGGAGGGTTTCCAAGGTCCTTAAACTAAGAATTTTGTATAACTTTAATGCCATTTCCTTTTTGTGTGTGTTTTTGAAAGGAAAAGGGTAATTGAAGACAGAGTACTATACACCATTCCGTTGTTTTTAAATCAGTAAAAATAGTCTTCCAAGAAGTAGACCTTCAATATTCAATTTTTAGTTACCTAGAGAATATTACTGATTTCATCATTTAAAAACTTGGTTAAGTTCTTGAAATATTCATGTTCCCATTAAATCTTTATAAAATTGAGAAATATTGATAGTGAAAATGCAGAATCTGTATCCTCCAGTAGTACCCAATGTATTTTTTCCTCTCATTAAATTTCATTGTAGAAACTGTTTCTCTGTGATTTCTTCCAGGTAACAATCTTTAGTAGAATCATCTGTTGCGATTTGCCATCAGTAACATTTATTTAACTTTTATGTGAACATACTTTTTGCCTCAGAAGGGAGGCATAAAAAATGGTTCTTTCTCGTATGCGTTCCCAGCGTGTATGTGAGCACTTGCTGAGCTCCTGCGGTATGAGGTTATCCCAGGCAAACCAGATGAAGAGAGGGGTGGGAGGAGGAGAAGAGCACCGGTAAGAGGCAGTGTAAGAATGGAGAAAAGAAAAGGAAGGCTGTGTTCAGGAAACTGCAGAGGCACCTGGCAGGGTGGGAGGGGAGAGTGCAGTGTGGAAACGAGCTGAGAAGGGAGGCTGCAGCTTTTCTGAAGAAGGCAGGCCTGGAAAGGTACGAAGACATTATTACTGTGTTCCCAGTGGGCTTAGTGGGTCTTTTATGTTTTCTTCCATTATGGGCGGAGAAAAGTGAGGACTGAAAGGGGAGCAGTGGTTTTTCAAACTTTATTTTAGCAAGTAGGCCCTTTATTTAAGTTTTCAGTATTTCGTAGGATCATGGTACATAATATAGAGCAATGATAGGTGAATCTTGTTAAGGACTGCTTGCATTTTCCTAGGGAGTTCAGGTGGCATAGTGTGCAGGGAGTGGGGCTGCTGGCCAAAGGTGGTTTGAATCCACCAGTGGATCTCTTCCTGTGCTATTTATAGCCTCTGAAAAACCAGGAGGGGGTTAGCCATGAGTGGGTTCTGACTTGACAGCAGTGAGTTGAGTCTGTCTTCCTCATTTTCTGTGAGGGTGCCTCTTAGGAACCTACAATTACAGCAAAATTGGTTGGAAAATCTCCACTTACAGATGCTAACTGATGGCTCTTTCTCTGCTGTAGAGTCAGTTCTGACTCACAGCTACGCTCCCTCAAGTTTCAGACACTGTAAGTCTGAGTTGGAGACTGTTCATCTTCTCCCTGGAGCTGCTGGTAGGCTTGATCTGCTGCAGTCAGTTTGACCTTTGGTTTGCAGTATAACACACTGTAGGCTGCTCCACCAGAGCTCCTTGATAACTGGATAGTAGGGAGTAGAGCATGACTATCCAGAGGTAAAAGAATAGTTACTGAGAGCCTAGAATAGAATAGAACAGAGGCATGAAGAATAGACTGGAGGGCGTGGACATGTGAAACATTCACAGTTAGAATTGACACAATTTGATAACTGACTGTAGAAGTTGGTAGTGGTGGAGAGAGGGGGAAGAAAGTAAATATGACTAAACTAGACCACTGGTGATGGAATGAAGTCAGATGATGGAAGAAAAATTGATGGGAGAGGGACAGTGACACACGTGATGCCTTGTTGCGTTTTCGGTGTTTGGGACCATCTGCATAGAGCAACTTGGTGCACAAGAGGTTTAAATAGGCTGGTGACAGGTTTGGGAGGCCCCCAGAGGGAGATGTGAAACACGGACTGAAGTCAGCCAGAGAGTGACAGGAAGGCTCGAGATTTGCACGATAATTCTCCATTTTCAAGTCTAGAAAGGGAGAAAAGCCAGAAAAAGGAGGAGAGGTGATAGAGGAAGAAGGAAACCAGGCAAAGGTGGTCAGGGGAATCAGAGTGATGACCTAGAAGAGACCGTTAGGAAAGACAGAGTTTGCATGTGCCTCTCCCTGTGGGATTTAAAAATACTATTGGGTATAGGAGGGAGCACTGGCGTGTAAACTTTGTAAGTCACACCACCCCTTAGCGTTGCCATTTATTTGTGTCCAATTGGAGTCGTTTTATCTGCCCAGTGTCTTGTGAAGATTAAGATAAACTGTAAAAGTGCAGGACAATCTCTTTTTCTCTTTTTACCAACTGTAACTTGGGAACTGGGTTGTGGAAAACATAACATGTGAAACAGCTTGTTGTTTTGTGTACAGAGTTGGAATCAACCCATAGCTGACCTTCCAGTGGGTTTTCAGAGGCAGTTAATCACATGGGAGATCGCCCATCCTCCCACAGTGCAGCTGGTGGCCTTGAACCATGTAGCTTGGGGATTGCAGTACAGCTTCTTGCTACTAGGCCACTAGAAGAGATGAAATCAGTCTCCAGCTCTTTTGGTTCCTTTGTTCAGACTTGAGAAAGTTGTGTCTGTAAGAACATAAAGCGGTTACCTTCCAAACTGGATTTTTTACCTTCTCAAACATCTTAGCTACCTTCATAATCCTCAACAACCAACCTAGAGTCCTTGACACCTTCGGAAAGGAGATCACATGAGCCACTCTTTTCTTTGTGGGAATGAGAGATCCTTGTGGTGATGGTGAACTTTAGGAGATCTATGGCACCTTGACAGATACCTAAGTTGTATGTATGGGTAAGGTTTTTCCTGAGGCTCATAAGATGGCCAAAAGGATGAAATGATCGAAACCTTGACAAGAGTCCAGAAATGGACTTCAAATAAGGTAGGTATATTACTAGTTTGCCCTCGATAACCCCAACTTAAACTTGTATCTTTTCATTACAGTTAAATCTTGTTAAGTTGCTTCTCACTCAGGGGCCCTTCTGAGTAACAGAAGGAGACTGGCTGCTCCTGTGCCATCTCTGTAATCTTTCATGTGTTGGAAACCCACTGTGGAGGCTGCTTTTCTCAGTGAAGGTTTTCTTCCTTCTCACTCCTCTTCTTCAAGTATAGTGTCCTTTTCGAGCAGTTGGTGGCAGGTCGAAAGTAAACAAGACGAAGACTGCCTATCCACAAGGGTCTCTGCATTTACTCTAAGGCTGATGATTCTTTGGGGACTCTCTGGTGTATCTGATATTCTTAACCAACTCTGCAGTTCAAATCCGTGTATCATTATACTTTTGGATGCTTTTTTTAAAAAAAATGAAATACTTCAAAAAATAAAATTTCATTAACAATATCCATGAACCAAAGATCTTTTTGTATGATAAATTATATGTTCACTGTAGCTTTGATAGAAGTCTACAAAACCTTGAAATGAGTTCTCAACATCTTAACATATTTGTGCATTTTTCTGGAGAAGGTGCCCAAAGGGGTTGATCCATCCTCACATTCAGAACCAACTACTGGCCTATAACTAGCAGCTACTCCTTTGAAGGAGACATCATGTTAGGAAGGATGGAAAGTCAGCAGAAGAGAGGAGGACCCTCAATGAGATAGATTGACACAGTGATTTCAGCAGTGGGCTTAAGAATGTCAGATGATGTAGGATAGGACAGGGTTCAGATCTGTTGTTCATAGGTTGTTATGAGTCGTACTCAACTCGATGGCACCTAACAATAACAACAAATGGCATAAGGAGTCGTTTTGTTGTTGTTGCTGCTAAAGGAAATGAACCTGACCTTTTAATGCAGCACTCAACCCGGTAGGTGAGAAAATTAGGGAAAGATGTTGGTAAGCAGCAAACGAGAGAAGCTATAGTGATAGGGGCCCACATTAGATGAGAGTTTAAGTTTGAGGCAAACAGCAGGACTTCACAGGTATTGGAAATAATCTGTTTCTTTTTTTTAAATTTTAAATTAGTTTACATACTAAAGTCATTTACACATTGTGTTCCGTTTGTATACTTTGTGTTCCATGTATTCCTCCATTCACACTGATTTTCACAATATCATTCCCATGCCTGAAAACCTGCTGATGCATCAACTGTGGGTCTGTTCCAACTTAAAAGTGAGGGATTTAAAAACCCTTACAACCTCTGGGGAGATACTGTTACTCTCCCTACTATCACAATGTCTAGGGTCATGTATGAACTACAAGCTCTGTGTTCTTTGGAGCCTCACATCTATTTCTTTAGGATGGTCTTATATTTCCATTACGAAATATAGTGAAAATTACATCACATTTGAGAGCTGCAAGGAAGTGAGCACTAAGAAACCTCTTTATAAATCCACCCACAGCGGACCCTCCAGCAGGTTTTCAGAGGCAGCAAAGTACACGGGAAGATAT